GAGTGAAGCCTGTGAAGAGAGCTCATTAAAGGCTCAGACACCACAGGAGTTCAAACCATGCATGATTATTATGCCTCGGTTAGCATGGAAAAACACCCCTGAAATAGAGTCTGGACCCTTGCATACAGAGCAGCCACTGTGATCAAAATCATTCAGCCAGGCGTATTATTATGTGGCACCTAGAGCTGATTAGAAGTAGACACTACGCATTAGTTTGACATATTCAGTACATCAATATTCTTTGATGGGAGACGGATGGGATGCTGATAGAGCTTAAGTTATGTTCTATCGCCTACAGGAGCTACTCTAACAGACCGTGCCTCTTGTGCTCTTCCAGACATATGTCACATATATGATATATGTAACCTCTAGCCCATCTCATATACATGAAAAGGCGATGCACCATGCAGTGATGGAGCACTCAATGTACCAATAAATGCGAGATGCTGCCAAGCCTTGGGTAGCTAAATGAATGCACTCGCTGAGCCTGTCTAATTGGCTCCCGGGGTGAGGCCATCACTCACGACAGACCATTTATCCTGGGTTTATCTTCGGAGAGGAGCTGGGGGGCTGTGCGGAAAGGGAGGAGGGGAGTGTCTTGCCATGTGCTGGCAAAGCTAGGGAAATGGGATGGGGGGTGCTGCCATCCAACCTTCCCCTGAGCCTAATCCTTCACCCCGTCCTCAGTCAAAACCAGGATTCGAGGGTGACGTGGCTTAAATCCACTACAAATGAAAACAGACTCCAGCCACCATCTTAATTGTGTCTAATGCCTGGCATTGCTCTGCCTCTCTATCCCTGTGTTTCATCCCCTGCTCTATCCCTTAATCCTGCACACACGCTCTCTCATTTAAAGAGGCACATTAGAAATTGGAGAGGCACGGGTAGCTGTGCTGAGCCAAGCTGCCAAATGGGATTCTCCTTTGATTATAGCTTAACAAGATGAGTTGAGTCCATCCAGGGCTTGCTTTAACACTCAGCTGAGTGGTCGCCATCCTTCATGTGCGACCGTGTGCCAGCCGAGGCCGTGCAGTCAGACGAGCACAGTGGAGCCCGTCAGTGCGAATGTCTTGTCTCCTTGCGTGCTGTCATCATTTGCCAAGCTGCTGCGTGCCACTACACCACTCCAGTAGACATTGTGGCTCTTTTCTCAAACTGGGACCTATTACATCTTCTCCAGGCCAGGAGATGAGTAGACCTTGACAGATGGCAAGTGTGTAACCCCCTCTGTCTATCCTCAGTAGCTGTCCTTCAGCTTCATCAATCTGCTGTGGCTTTACTATTACCCTACAGACTTAATGAGACCTCGCAGGCTGACAAGAGCAGTTACGCTCAGGGAACGAGGGACGAGCACAAAAATGAGTGGCAGTACAATCCAGCTTCACCTTAAAAAAAATAAAAATAAAAACCACCCAGTGCATTGATTTAATTCATGTAAATACTTAGCCAGATAAAAGATTCCTCACTCTAGCATTCAAATGTGCCTGCCACCTCTCATATCAACACTAAGCCCCCCCAAAAAAACAAAAAACAAAAAATCCCACTCTAATTCGATTGCCTTTCATTCAATTGGATCACTCACCCCTAATACATCATGGATTAGTCAGCTTTCTGTAAATGACAAATGTGATGTGAGTAAAATGTCACGAGGTATCAGTGGGAAAGTGAGTTTTCTCTGCACTGACACAGGATCACAGAGCTCATCATTAATTATGGTCTCGCCTGGAGTTTGGCTGCGAGCTGTAGTTATTCAAGCAGCAGTGTGCATGTGTGTACAGTATGTGTGTGCGTGTGTGAGCAAACACGCCAGGGAGAAGCACTGAGATTGTTGATAAGGGCTGTCTGCCATCTCTACAGTTTCCATGGTTCTTCCTAACTTTTGCTGGATGCTAATGAAATGGACTCGGCTGGGCTGTCCTGCGTTCTGAGCTAACTATCCCTATGGCTGTAACACATTTAGCTGAGTAAAATTCAACTCAGTGGCAACATTGGGAAGCAGAAATGGGTGGGTGATTGAATTGCTACATCTCTATGGCTGTATCCCAATTCAGGGTCTGCAGCCTAAAAGTACGCAGCCTTAACGGCCCACAAGGGCCGCGTACTCAAAGACCACTAAGGCCGGAAGTGCGAGGCTTGTAAAATGGGACGGTCTAGCCTCCGTCGCGCTGCCCAGGTTGCCTAGCAACGATGATACTAACAGCTGGAAACGTTTCATACAGCTTTGTTTGACAGAAATGAAGGAGAAAATCTTTTGTTCATTTGTTTGTTTGTTTCTACATGAGCTTTGATCATTCTCTGTAAGATTAAGGTCAGCTATTGGACGGCGTATATTTTAAAGTAAAGGCTTTAAAACCAAGTTAGTACAAACGTCACTAATGTCACATAACTTTGCCGACATGTGGCCAACAGTAATGTTTTAATGGTCTTTCTTATTAAACATTTGCACATAAATAAGTGACATAATATTCAGTACTTACTCAAAGTTTACTCTTCGGGCGCCCCTCATCCGCCGTTTTTTTCCGGCAAAATTATCCACACCCAGCGCCGCGCTATGCATTCTGGGATATGTTGGGCCACGAAGTCTACACCACCACATCCTTAAAATTCAGGGAAATGAAGGACACATTTGAGGCCGCATTTCGAGCAGCCCTTGAATTGGGACAACCTTCGTCGCGTTGCTGTGACATAATCGGCCTTAAAATGCGGCCCATAAGGCTGCAGACCCTGAATTGGGATGCAGCCTATATGCATGCATGATTACCTTCCCTAACTAACTCCCACTGTTGGCTTGGGAACAGTGTACAATCCCCTGGCACCCATGACAAGGCCCTTCAACACCTCCCTGTGTCTCCACAGGCACCCAACCAGAAATCAGGAGACCTTAAAGCAAATACATGATTCTTCGCTGGGCTGCTAATTGTTAATGCTGCCAATTATGTTAACTGGGGCACCCGGCCAATCAGGAAGCACCCAGGTCCTGCACCCTGAACCCTTCTTATGCCAAGAAACAGTTATCTTTAGCTCTATCTTTAGAGGTTTCAGAGCAACCTCTTACAAGAAGGACTGCAGTTTAATTCAGTGTCTCACAATAATGCCTGTTTTAAAAATGAGAATAAAAGAATAATATGATTCAATTGTGTCACGACAGAGCACTGTGACTGATAACATTTCCAAAGCATGCTGATAAAAGTATAAAAACACATTGTTATGCACCATTTCCTCACAAAAACACAGCTCCTTAAGTTTACTCCACTCTTCCAGAGAGAATTTTTTTTTTTTTCATCCTCCCAATATTATGATGAAAATGACTTCTGGCAGGTTACGGTGTCTGAATGTAATGTTCTGGTGCAGCTTGTGAACTCAGCACCCCTACAGGTACATACCTGTCAATGTCAGGCTCTGTGCTACACAAGCCTTTATGGCTTGCACTCCAACCAGCATCCCAATAACTGCATTGTGAAAAACAGATAAACAACTACCGTTTCTCTGAAAAAGGTAATGTCAGTTGACATCAAAACCCAAGAGCAACTCTTTTTTTTCCATCCGACTTGCCTACGCAAGCATTTCAGATTGGACTCTAGTTTGAATACACATGCATCACATGTGGGCTTCCTTACAAAGCCAAACACAACCTTTTGCTCAGCTGAATCAAGAGCAGTTCCACTTTTATTTGTGCGTTTAGCTCACAAAATTGTCTCCCATGATTTAGAAGACATAGCTCATATTGCCAACCTGCTGCCAGCATATCGAGTCAAATTACAGGACTTGGAAAAAAATAGCAGCCAAGAACAAGAGCAGCTAAGTACTGTTGCAGAAATAATAAAGAAATGCTTCAACACGAAGGGAGATAATTTAAAAAAAGAAAACTTGGATCAATATAGATTGCTGGATTCAAGGGGTAAGGCTTCAGCCACACAGGCCTAGAGACCTCTTGGCAATCTCTGCTCTTGGTCTTAAAAAATTAATTTGTTTTAAATTTCAGCCATTAGTAAGAAAATTGTCCAAGAAAAACATGTATTGAGCTGAAAATAAAATATCAACTACATTGTAGTATTCTCCCATCTAATAGCTCTATGATATTTTTTGGCCCCAGTCACAAAGACCTAGCAACCAGGTGGTGAGTGCATAACAACCGTAACTAGGGAAAAATTATATTTATATTGGTTGGCAAGTGACTGCTGCCTTTCACAAATTAGTTTGCTCATAAGGAGATTGCCGCAGTTGCCTGCAGTTTGCATTAAAGATGGCAACGTTCCGACAAACACTAACTGGCCAATGAGCACTAAGCTAACTGACCAATGAGCAGTAGTAAAACTTGAAAAAAGTGCAATGCAAGCTGGAAGTGGAAACAATTTTCCCTCAAAGTCAAAGTTGTGCCTTACCACTGAAACTGTAACTCTTCTGCAGGTAATATTTTAGTTTGACTTCAACAGATGGCTTCCTTGGGGAATTTTCTTACTAACGACTGAACCTTCTAACAAATAAGCCCAGTGCAAATCAATAGACCAAATATTAAACTTCTCTTTGATTAGGTTTAGATTGAGTTATTTCTTTATTAATGCAACTTTGTAAATGCTTAAGGCACTGTAAGCCTAGCAAATCAGCTCCCAGTCTAGTTTAATAAATCTAGTTGCCTCGACAACTCTGGTTTTATTCATGCTACACATGTGACTAACTATGAATGCAAGCACATTCTTACCCGTAACCTTATTTATTTAACCTTATTTCTATCTTCTGTTTTGTAATCTGTGTAATCTGTGCTGTCTAAAAATTACTTTAGTGTTAACCATGGCAACCTAAACTTACTCAGCTCTTCAAATAACTTAAAAAAGGTCTCCAAACAAATTAAATTATAAATAAAGGACTATAATAATATAACACTCAGGACTATCATTGTACCCTATATAATCATTCCCTCAGGGTCAATAATCAAGTTATTTTCGACCAACTTAGTACTGTTATCTTATCTGTTGTTTTTTTACTATTTGTTCTTTACTTACCCTTGCTCCTCCATCATCTCTTGGAGCTCCATACATTTGAGCTCCACCCTCCTCTTCCTCTCATGGTCCAGAATTTCTCTGTGGGGCTTCTTCACCAGGACAGGCTCTGCTTTGGGCTCCTCCTCCTCCTCCTTAACTGACTGCCCCTCTTCAGTTTTAGCTTGCAGCACTGTAGTTGCAGTTGGCCCTCCAGATCCTACAGCTGTTCCTGCTCCTGCTCCAGGGACAACCGGCTGGGCCAAACCGTTTGCACCATCTTTCGGAGACAGCACCCTTGTTGCATCATACATGATTACTGAATCTGTCGAGACAGAGATGAAGAGACCAAAGGTTAACGGAGAGAGGGGATGAGAGAAGCTGTCACTTGTGGGTCTCACTCACATTAATCATTTAATGTCAGATCTTTCCCTTGTTTTGGGAGGTTCTCACTCAGTGGGAGTAATCTTTATACATTTAGTAAAAAAAAAATCCCCATCAAAGACCATTTTGTACCCATCTCTAAATGTTGTCAGTACATCACACTATCTGAACCAGCAGTAAGCCACAAACATTCTGAAACTGAAAGGTGAGCGCTTCATTTGATGTTAATATCTTTGGACAGGCTGCAGCATTTCTGCCTGAACTGAGCAGTACGATTGCACACACTCGCACCAATATACTGCACCCATGCACGTACACACACAATTTGGATCTTGGGTACATGTGGACATGCACAGCCAGAGACAGAACTGGAAGTAACTTCAGCTCTGTGAGTCAACAACTAAGTAGTGCCTAAAGGCAGGTTAGGAGACAGAGTGCTTCCTCTTCTACACTCTCGTATCTAGTGGAGCAAACTAAAGCTGTAAACTGTAAAGGTCATATAAAAACCATATGACGTGACAAGGAAAAAAAATTGGGAGCAATAAGCATACTTAAAGACAGAAATGAGTGACAAAGGTTAGTGTGAGAAGAAACTCAATGCCCTGTTTGATTTTGACTTCCTTAATCTTTTCTCTTTCTGCCTCATTTACTCATGAAATGGTGAGAATGTCATTTTGTTAATAAAAAAGCATCTGGTGGAAGTGTTGTGTGGACTGGACTCTGATTAAGACAGACTGTTCTTTTAAGGCCAGTGCTGAGCGCACGGGAAGTGTGGAAGGGCTTATAGCGTGCCCGCGAACTTAAGCTCCTCTCCCTCTACAACTAATGACTTCATTTTTCAGTGCGGAGGCACAGAAGGCCGGCTGAGGCACTTCATCACTGCCACACATTGAGGACTCAAGACAGGTTGATACTGAAGCTGGATGGACAGACTCTCAGAGCTACAGTCACAAGCCATTCCCTTTTCTTTTATCTAATCACAGGGAGTGTGCGAACAAGCTAATGCTGTGCCGTCTCACGCTTTTGTGCATTTGAGCTGCTCCTGGTAGTCTTTGACTGGTTAATAGGGATGTGCTTGTGTTCTGGAGTGCCGTGTGCTGGTAAACAAGCCGTGGATGTGTGCGGCTCTCGGGTGACAGAACAGGTGGCAGGACAGCAGGAGGCATCATCTCTGAATCTATTATACAGTAAATCAGCGCTTGATATTCCATGACAGTAATCTCTCATCTACACACGCTCACCTGCAGAAGATGGTAAGGAGAAAAGCTCTCATCTTTAAAAAGGGTGTTTAAAATGACATTCAGGCAGACAGCAGCAACACACAACTGGTGAAAAGACAGGAATATGTGATATATGAATCACTCTGTGAATAACAGACAGTTCATTTAGATGTGAAATGAAATGTAGCTTAATGTGCGTGTATTTGTGTGCTTACAGAGAAATTTACATTCATGCATCCCACAGATTCAACAAAAGCACAAGCAAGAACTCACATGCACTTATGGAACATTAAATTTAAAGGACTTAATTATTAAATGACAAGAGAAAAATGAAGCAACCCGCATCTTAAGTAAAAAAATGTGCCGTTTATGTTAATTTGCATAGCTCTTTGGCTACAAAGAGAGCAGGGTTGTGGGTTTGGAGATGCACTTAGGGGAGAACTATGGATAACGCCATACGTGCTGTAGACTGTGTAAAAAAGATAGACGCTGCCACTGTGAGGTCTTGATTTGAAGCCTTGAGCTGAAGAATCACTATTTTTGTGTTTTGAAAGCAGATGTTATAAAAAAGGTGGATCAGACTGAGAAATACAGGGGTTAGGGTTAGACCACACTAAAGTATACCCTGCTTTATTGTGACCACAAATTACAAATCATATCCCATCATATGATATTTAACAGGACTTGAATCTAGTAGTTGGGATCATAACCTAAGCGGTACGATTATTTTCTTGTAGGACTGGAGTTCTTTTTGCTCCCAGAGAATCCACACCCTGTGGATCATTAAAATTCCCCATCAGCTTCTCTTCTCTCTCATATACAGTCTGTGGCTTATTCTGGAAGTCCTGTCTTGGCCTACAAGAGATCCACGAGCCCTCCCATAAATGTCACAACATGCACACATCCCAACATTAAAGGCAGGCTCCTTCACAGCAAGGTTAAATGAAATGATAACATCTGAAAATCAGAGCAAAAGGACCCTCCCATTCCAAATTAAATTCTTCACCAGATGTAGAGCCTGGCCCACATCTGTCGTTACGTTAAACTGGAGCCTCCTCATTATATTAATGCATCATTCCTTTTTTCCCGGGGAGATGGGATGGGCAGAGAATCTGTTTTCTTTCAAGTTAAAACAACTAAATTATTTAATTGTGTGATAAAAAGAAAAAGTCAGAGCAGAAAGGGAGACTTGTCATTGAGCCGATAAGGCGCACAGCTAATTGTGTGCGAGTCCTCTGCAGGGACTGAAGGTTATCTCTAGCTGCTGTATTAATGCTGGCACTGACCTCTTCTGCTATTATTGCAAAGGCGTATAAGACTGTCACATCCCGACAAACACTGTCTGTAATTAGTCATGTGCTAAGTGAAGTTGTTTAGCCGCAAGCACAAAGCGCCGCCATCAATTATTTCAAATCCCAAACAGATTAACACACACTTGGACATTCAATACTCTGCTCCAGAGCCTGTGACTCGTGCCATTTCTTTAGAAAGAGAAGAAAGAAGGCTGCACTGCTGTGTCCTTAACTTCTGTCAGTGGTTTTCCTGTGCTGTCTGCTTGATTGGACCTTGCCGCTGGGGAGGCCTCTGCTGTGTCTATACTGCAGCCTGTCTTCTGCTAACATTATGCAACATGGCATTCTCCAGTCCTCTAGTCTTATAGTATACGACAGCGTATCACTTGTAAACATCGGTGCCAAGGTTGCACATCTAATCTTGGACACTTTTAAACCCGATCCTTCCTTGCCGCCAGAGATTCTACGCGGCGCGGAGAACAACAAAGGACGGGCCGCTCATCCGAGGCGCAGAACAAAGAAGCGCCGAGGGAAACGCGCTGGCATTAGGAATAGACTGAGACAGCAGGCACATCGCGCACCACTGCCCAGCATCCTACTGGCCAATGTACAATCCATGGAGGACAAGCTCGATGACCTAAGAGCAAGGGTCACCTTCCAACGTGACATGAGGGACTGCAACATTCTGTGCTTCACGGAGACATGGCTGACCCCCACCGTGCCGGACCAGGCTGTAACTCCGTCGGATTCATTCTTTGTGCTCCGCGCGGACAGAACGGCAGAGTCAAACAAAACCAAAGGTGGAGGAATGTGTTTCATGGTAAACAGAAAGTGGTGTGATGCCAGGAGCATTTCTACTCTTTCCAGCGGCTGCTCGCCACATCTGGAGTTCCTGAGCATTAAGTGCCGCCCTTTCTATCTGCCCCGTGAGTTCACCTCAGTCATCGCCACGGTGGTCTACATCCCACCCCAAGCGGACACAGGTATGGCTTTGTCCGAATTACATGATGTGCTGAGCTCGCTTCAAAACAAGGACCCGGGCGCAGCCCTCATTGTAGCAGGAGACTTTAATAAAGCGAACCTCAGACAAGTCATGCCAAACTTTTACCAGCATGTCTCGTGTCCAACGAGAGGGGATCGTATTTTGGATCACTGCTACACGCCATACAAGCAGGGCTACAAAGCTGTCTCACACCCGGCTTTTGGGAAGTCTGACCACAACGCCATCTTCCTCATTCCCCAGTATAAACAAAACATACGGCGGGAAGACGTGACCACGAGGGAGGTAAAACGGTGGACTGCCCAATCAGAAGCTACGCTACAGGACGCACTCAACGACGGCGACTGGGACATGTTCAGAGCATGCGCAGTCGACATCATCGAGTTTACGGAAGTAGCAGTACATCGCGGAGCATGACGTCCGAGCGGCATTAAGGAGTTTCAACTCCTCACTGCAGGCATGTCATGTGCCTGCCTGCTTCAAGTCCTCTACCATAATCCCTGTCCCCAAGAAACCTAGGATCACTGGACTAAATGACTACAGACCCGTGGCTCTGACATCTGTGGTCATGAAGTCTTTTGAGCGCCTGGTTCTCTCCTATCTCAAGACCCTCACGGCCCCCCTCCTGGACCCCCTGCAGTTTGCATACAGAGCCAACAGGTCTGTAGATGACGCCATCAACATGGCCCTACACTTCATCCTGCAGCATCTGGACTCCCCAGGAACCTACGCCAGGATCCTGTTTGTGGACTTCAGCTCTGCCTTCAATACCATCCTTCCAGACCATCTCCGAGGCAAGCTTTCCCAGATGACTCAGAATCAGAATCAGAATACTTTATTGATCCCTGGGGGAAATTATTTTTTGTTACCTTTTTTGTTTACCATTTTTGTTTTGAATGTGCCTGATCCCATCTGCCGGTGGATCACTGACTTCCTGACAGACAGAAAACAGCATGTGAGGCTGGGAAAGAATGTCTCGGACTCCCGGACCATCAGCACCGGCTCCCCTCAGGGCTGTGTTCTTTCTCCCCTGCTCTTCTCCCTGTATACTAACTGCTGCACCTCCACCCACCAGTCTGTCAAGCTAATCAAGTTTGCAGATGACACCACCGTTATTGGACTCATCTCGGACGGGGATGAGTCTGCCTACAGGAGGGAGGTTGAACGTCTGGTGTCCTGGTGCAGCCACAACAACCTGGTGCTGAATGCCCAGGAGACAGTGGAGATTATTGTGGACTTCAGGAAGCACACAGCTCCACTCCCCCCCATCATCCTGACTGACACCCCCATCACCTCTGTGGACTCATTCCGCTTCCTGGGTACCACCATCACCCAGGACCTGAAGTGGGAGCCCACCATCACCTCCATCATTAAGAAAGCCCAGCAGAGGATGTACTTCCTGAGGCAGCTGAAGAAATTCAACCTGCCA